AGGCGCAGGCAGGTCCTTGAAGGCGCAGGGAGGTCCTTGAAGGCGCAGACAAGTCCTTGCAGGCGCAGGCAGGTCCTTGCAGGCGCAGACAGGTCCTTCCAGGCGCAGGCAGGTCCTTGAAGGCGCAGGCAGGTCCTTGCAGGCGCAGACAGGTCCTTCCAGGCGCAGGCAGGTCCTTGAAGGCGCAGGCAGGTCCTTGAAGGCGCAGGCAGGTCCTTGAAGGCGCAGGCAGGTCCTTGAAGGCGCAGGCAGGTCCTTGAAGGCGCAGGCAGGTCCTTCCAGGCGCAGGGAGGTCCTTCCAGGCGCAGGCAGGTCCTTGAAGGCGCAGGCAGGTCCTTGAAGGCGCAGGGAGGTCCTTCCAGGTGCAGGGAGGTCCTTCCAGGCGCAGGGAGGTCCTTCCAGGCGCAGGGAGGTCCTTCCAGGCGCAGGGAGGTCCTTGCATGTCATGTAACCATTCAGACGAGGCAAGTCCGCTCAGCTAATTACATTCTGGAAATTAGTTTACAGCGCGGCAGTTCAGAGTGTCACTGGAACGTTATGTTGGGTCTGGAAGTTCAAGTATCAGAGTGTAAATGATTTAAGAGGCGCAGGAAGTAGTGTGTGTGTGTGTGTGTGTGTGTGTGTGTGTGTGTGTGTGTGTGTGTGTGTGTGTGTGTGTGTGTGTGTGTGTGTGTGTGTGTGTGTGTGTGTGTGTATGTGTGTGTGTGTGTGTGTGTGTGTGTGTGTGTGTGTGTGTGTGTGTGTGTGTGTGTGTATGTGTGTGTGTGTGTATGTGTGTGTGTGTGTGTGTGTGTGTGTGTGTGTGTATGTGTGTGTGTGTGTGTGTGTGTGTGTGTGTGTGTGTGTGTGTGTGTGTGTGTGTGTAAAGAAAATTTGATTGACAGTTGAGTGGCGGGACCAAAGAGCCTGCGTTCAACCCCCGCAAGCACAACTAGGTGAATACAACTAGGGGAATATAACCCCCCTTCCCCCAGGAAGCAGCCCGTAGCAGCTGTCCAACTACAGCTAGGTGAACAGGTGCATCAGGAGAAAAAACTGTTCATTTATCTTAGTCTGGACAGGACTGAAGCCTCCGCACGACAGATTAATCCACCTCTCAGCAGACACAAGCCCCTCCCCCCCCCCCTGCAGCAGACTCGGGCCCTCCACAGCAGACACAAGCCCCTCCCC